AAGGGGATTGGGCTGACAATACTTCATAGCTTCTTCCTGCTGAATAGGAGCAATGAGAAATTTTTTAAAGGGGTGAGAAGAGATAGGAAAATTAGAAAAAGTTGGTTAGACTTAAGAAAGCTAGCTTTAGCATCTGTTATCCAGTCTTTGGATAGAGGCTCAATGCTTGACTGAAGTTTTAATTGGCTCCATCTAAAAAGTTGGAGGCAAGATCATCTGAACTCAGTAGCAATTCCTGAAGCTGTTTTGGAAGCAAGTCTCTGGACAGCATCAGGAAGCAGGGGGCTAGAACAGAAGGTCAGTTCAGCATCTCTGAGGATGAATCTTGGCAAAGTTATACATTCTGTAATACATGATTCTCACTATTGGGTTATAATGTGCATGGGTGGGTCTCGAGCCCACCCCCCTAAGGGGCTAGGGCCTCTGCTCAGAAAGGCAGAGGTGTGGGAAGTTGACTGTGCTCTCCACACACCAGGGACCGGCAGGCCTCGGGCTATGTGAAGTCAGGACCCTGTTAGGAGTGGGGGAGCGCAGTCTGAGGTCCCTCAGAGAGCCAGAGCTCTTGGCTTGGGGGTCCCCTGGGCCAAAAGGCGGCCAGAAACCTGCTGGTTCTCAGGCTCTTGGGCCCCCAGGCACCACTGGGGGCGGGGGGGGGGGGCCCGCAGAAGAACAAAGTGGGGGCTACAGGCTAGATTGGCCAGAGCCTAAGAGGACTTCGGCTGTGGGTGGGGAGGCGGGATGAGCTCAGGCTAAAACCAGCAGGGATGATAGTTTTTGGTTTGGTCACTGCTTACTTGGCTTGGTTGGTTGGTAGTCTCCAGCAGTTGGGGATGCAAAGAGTTCTTCTGCAGTAGATTAGGCAGCAGCTTTGTGGATGAAGGCCTGCTCCACTGTTCCCCGCAGCAGATTTCTAAGAGAAACAGTCCATAGTCCTAAGATGTTTATTGTCATGGTGGAAAGTAGATGAAAACTATTCCCCAGTATTTTCAGGGCAGGCCTGCGGTTAAATACCTTTTGCAAGGAGGAGGGTCTGGGAAAAAATATTTAATTGGCTATGCCCCTCAGGCCTTTAGGTACCTCATTAATATGGAGATCTGTCTTGAGGCTGTGTGGCCTGTAGTCATGCCCTCTACCTGTGGAGGGGCTAGGGTGTGTTGTCCTACTGACTGAAAGGCACAGATCTATGGAGGTCTGCAGCCTGGGATCAGTACCCAGGAGTCTGGGAGCATGGCAAAACACATGCCATCCCTTATGGTCACCTGCATCCCACCTGGAGATCCTCAGGATCACCTGGGGTCTCCAGAAGTTTCCAGCTGATACTAGACCAGAAACCAGGTTGCCTTTCATGGCCCTACATCTCACAACTAAGATTTTAGTATCATTAAGATATTCATATGGATTGTGCAGGGTGCACAGTTCAGTTAAGGATGAACCAATCTCCAACATCTCCCTTTATCTCCTGGTTCATTTGTTTGTATATTCCCCATTTGGAACCTTTCTACTCCTAAGCTATAGAAACATTATCTTTCCCATGTCCAATGCTGGTCTCTTGAATGTCATCTTAGAGGGAGATAGCTTGCTTTAGTTTATTAGCCTATGGTATTGGCCAGTGGTCTTTTACTCTTTTCTGCTGGGATTAAAAGGAGATGGGTAAATTCTCTGAGCGAAACAAATTTACATTTCTTTATTAGGATTTGTCTAATGTTTCAGAGAGTTTCCATATAAAGTTAAATGTAGGATGGAGAATTTTTGAATCATGTTACAATGTAAGAAAAAGATCTAACACTATTCAGTGTTGATTTAAAGAAGTCTAGCTTTATGATTGTTCAAAATTCAACTAAAATCTAGGTTCCTATAGTTGCTAACCTTATTTGCTTTGGTTTATTTCATATATTGCTTCAAATGCTTTCATTCTTTAAATACAATTGGATTGTACAAAAAGTATTGATAATAATCCATTTCAAACAGTTCACCTAGCTTTTGATACAGGAAAATATCTGGCAAAAGGTAGGTTACTTTTATTTTAAAATCGAGAACAAAATAAAAACCACAGCTCTTATCTTAAAGGGAAGAAGAAATAATCTACTCTAGAGCAAGTTTGAGTGCCCATTCTTGTGGATATCCCTAGGCTGTTTTTTGGGAGGGGGTTTTATTCCCTAGTTCCTGGGACTTATGGTCTCTTCCTGGAACTGGTGGTGCCTTATGATCTTCTTTTCAAAATTAGGCCTGGTCCTTAAATGGAGACAAATAGGTTTTGTGTTATCTCTTCAACCATATGTATTCACTGACAAGAGTCTATTAGCCAAAACCTTCAGAATACCCATGTTATACCCCCACAGACCCAAAGAAGTTGAACAAGAAGGAAGGCCCAAGTGAGGATGCTTGAATCCCACTTAGAAGTAGAACAAAATAGTCATGGGAGGCATAGAGAGGGATCTGGGTGGGAGAGGGGAAGGTAAGAGGGATAGGGAGTCAGGATCAGGTGTTGGAAAAGACTGGAGAGAGGCCCAGGGGGCCAGGAGAATGAATGGAAATATGCAGCTTCTGTGTGGGTAGTAAGAGAATAGGAAGTCCCAGAGTCCCAGGATGAGGGAGGATCCCAGGACTCAGTATGGGTGACCTTAGCCAAAATGCCCAACAGTGAGGATATGGAACTTGAAGAGACTACCTCCAGTAGCCAGACAGGACTCCCAGTGGAGGGATAGGGACACCAACCCACCTATAAAACTATTAAACCAAAATTGGTCCTGTCTAAAAGAAGTGCAGGGACAAAATTTGAACAGACACTGAAGGAATGGACAATCAGAGACAAGTCCATTTTGAGATCCATCCCATGGGGAGACACCAATCCCTCAAATGGTTAGTGATGCTATGCTTTGCTATGCTTGCAAAGAGGAAGCTAGCATAGCAGTCCTCTAGGAACTCTACCCAGCAGCTGACTAAGACAGATGCAGGTACTCACAGAAAACATTGGAAGGAGGTCAGGGACCCCTATGGAAGAGGTAGGGGAAGGTTTGAAGACCCTCAAGGAGGTGGCAACTTCAGGGGAAGACCAACAGTGTCAACTAACCAGGACACATGGGTGTTCCTAGAGATGGAGCCACCAACCAAAGAACATGAAGAGGAACGTTCAAGGCCCGGGTACATATGTATCACAGGGTTGGCCTCAGTGGGAGAGGATGCTTTTAATCCTGAAGAGGAGACTTGATACATCAGGGTTAGAGGATATAGGCTGTGATTGGGTGGTGCGAAGGTTGCCCTCTCTAGGCGAAGGAGATGGGGGATAGGGGAAGGAACTCTGAGGAGGGACCAGGAGGGGCAGCATTTGGGATATAAGTAAATAAATAAATAAATAAATAAATAAATAAATAAATAAATAAATATCATACTACCAGTGATTTCTAAAAGGTTATTTGTTACACTGAAATAATCCACAGGAGAAAGTTAAGCTGACTGGAGAGAGAGCTGTCCCTAAAGCTGTTGCCTGTCTTTGGAACCTGTTCCCCAACTGGGCTGCCTTGTCTGGCCACAGTAGAAGATGCACCTAACCCTGTAATGTACTTAATGTACCAGGTACTTAATGTACCAGGATGGGGGGTGGATACCCGAAGGGGGTCCCACTCTATTAAAGGAGAAGAAGAGGAGGATGGGGGGGACTCTGTGAGGGGGTCAGAGATCTGGATGTAAAATGGATAGATGAATCAATTAATGGAGAAAATAAAAGAGAGTATATTGAATATTCTATTCTGCTCCTGCCTGGGAAAGATTCCTGGAGGAAAGACAAAGGAGCTTAAGTTGTTTAAAGTAGAAAAGGCTTATTTCACATAGTGCCAGCCAAGGAGGCTTTACAATGTCACCATTGATCTGGTAAAAGTTCACAGTTTCATTCCTCTGGAGGAACCAAACTGTTTTTACTTAGCTGGATGCTTTCTCAGCAGGAAAGGAAATGTCTTTGGTGTAAAACAGGTTGTCAAGAGGAGTTAGAAGCCATTTGTTTATTCTCAAATGTGGCTTCCAAAGGGATGAGTTGGAAGCACTTGAGAGCTTAGGGCAATTTGACTTTTCTAAAGCTATTCCAACACAATGAGGTAAAACTAAGTAAAAATATCCCTGGGACAGCTATATGCTACATCAAGACACTATGCAGTATGAATGACAGGCAGTGACTATCTAGACAGGGGACAGCCAATTCCTTTGCTTTTATTATCTTTCTTAACACTCACTGACTGAAAGTAGAGCTCAATACTGAAATGTTTTCATGAGGTCCTGGGTTCAAATTCCAGTACCACTAAAGGTAAGTTTTATCTTCATAGTCAATGAATCAGGCCAAGAGATATTATTGCTTTTTTCAGGTGAATAATAAAAAAAAAACAACAGGATATAGAAATGTGAAATCAAGTATACATCATAACAATTGCAGGTCATGGCAAAATTGCTAAGTAAGTTGTTCAGAGTCCAGCTCACAATAGTACACTAATACAGGGAGGCAGTGAATTTTGAAAGGTTGAGGCACTCCAATGGTTTAGTTTGGTATGACATTTTCCATTAAATATTTAAAGGAAAGAGTACTACAGGTAGTTCAGTTCTTCTCAGAAGAGTAAAGGAACAAGTAGAGAGGTTGGGGAATACTATCTTAAAACAAATGAACATAATTCTCACCATTAAACTTTAAAATTACTTCTATACTATTACACAAAAAAATTGAAATATAAGAAGACAAATATTTATATCATACAATAGAACTGAAACCACTCAGTGTCACAGAGCCTAATATAACTTCAACTTTCCAACAGTTACTTAAAGGAGTATTGATGATTTTATGCTATATCTGCTGTTTTATTTCTCTGTTCTTTATACTCCTTTTTAAAAATAAAATTGAATGCTTCAAAATTCACAAAATCCATTTCATACATCAGTTACTGAGAATGGCAGAGCAAAAATGATGCATTTGCTATATGTGTCAGAGGACTCACTGTATAGGGCTCTGTATAGGGTGGGGGCTCTGTTTCCATAGCTGTGAATATAGATGATATATAAATGAAAGACACCTGATCATTTTACCCAGTGGTTTTTCAATTACCTGATGGCTAAAGATAACTTTTCTACTATTTTCTTTAGAGCACTTTTTACTTCCTGATTTCTCAAGCTGTAGATCAGAGGGTTTAACATGGGAATTACTACCACATAAAACACAGAAGCAAATTTATCTGTGTTCAGAGAATGGCTTGACTTGGGTTGCAGGTACATAAAACTTACTGTCCCATAAAATATAGTGATTGATGTCAGATGGGATGCACAAGTGGAAAAGGCTTTCCTTCTTCCTTCAGCAGAATGAATCCTCAGGATGGCAAAGACAATGCAGACATAAGAAATAACCACAATCACCAGAGAGCAAAGGGTGTTGAAGCCAGCAATGATTAGCAACATCAGCTCTTTGACATGAGTGTCAGAACAGGCCAGAGCAACTAAGGGAACATCATCACAGTAGAAGTGGTTGACTACATTGGAGCCACAGAAAGATAATCGGAAGGTCTCCACTGCCTGTGCCAGCCCCACAGTGAATCCATAAATGTATGTGCTGGCGATGACCTGAAGACAGAGCTTCCTAGGCATGAGGACTGCATAGAGGAGAGGGTTCCAGATGGCCACATATCTATCATAGGCCATTATTGACAGCAAGTACAGTTCACAAACTACAAATGTGACAAAGCAGCATAACTGAGTGGCACATGCATAGAAGGTTATGCTTTTAACTTTACGTAGAAAATTTAACAGAGTGTTTGGAGTGACAGAAGAGGTAAAACAAAAGTCGATAAAAGCCAGGTGAGTCAGAAAAAAATACATGGGGGTATGAAGCTGAGGACTCACTTGAATTAACACAATCAATCCAATATTACCCACAACACTAGTTAAGTAGATGACTAGAAACACACCGAAGAGACTGACCTGAAGCTCTGAGTCATCTGTGAGCCCCACAAGGATGAACTCAGACACTGTAGAGTAATTGCTGTTAGCCATTGTAGATCGATGTTACATGTGCTAAAAGTCTTCAGAGCATACAATGTCGACCTAAAGTCAGAAGACAATTCTGACTCATTGATCTTGCATTGGAAATTCATAAGAAACAATTCACATGGCTTCAGCTTTCAGAATGTCTCAGGTAGATTTATCAAAATATGGGACCCCGTGGGATTTGTACAAATATAGTTTTTTGTTTTTGTTTTTGTTTTTTAATTTTGCTAGTCGAACAGTCAAATCCATGTTAGGAGATAGTTTCCTGAGTCCAGTCATCTCAGGGACAAGTTCTACCTACCTGACAGCATCAAATAGAGTTCATGTTCTTAGGCCTGGGAATCCAACTCCTATCCTGTTTCTTCAGATGATTCATGTTTTTCTATTAACTAGTAAATGTTGCTAAGAGGGAAGATGCACTTATCCTGTTATCTAAACTAAGGCATACACATCATAAATGTGTTGCTTGTCTTGACTTAATAGACTATATGCAGTTTGTGCACTCCTTAGTTCCTTATCATTACAATACTCTGGGCCAGAGTCCAGGGGCAATATGGCTACAAAGGCTGAATCCAAGACCCTTAAACCAGACGACCCAGATAAGCCCAGTCACCAATGTTACCTTCTTTGCTTAACCCCTTGGGTTGCAATATGATTGTCCAGTGCAACAGCCCATCCCAGTGTCTTGTGTTCCCATTCTATAAGAATGTTACAGTCTCCCCATTCAGGGATGCAGTTCATACCCTGAACTGACTGCCTACCTGCACATATAGAAAATAAAGCTTTCATTTTTAAACTTTTGTCTCTGAAGTGAGTTTTCTGGGCTCCAACCCTGAACGCAACACCCATACCTATAGGACAAGGGAGAGGCAGAGGAAAAGAGAAAGGGAGATGGGGAAGAAGAGAAGGAGGGTAGGTGAAGGGGAAGAGGGAGAGAAGAGGAAGAGAGGACAGTGATGTTGAGAACTATTTGAAAGAACAACAAACCATTTTTGTTGCTTATTGGAAATTTTACAGAAAAATATTTTAAGTTTATAAAATTTTAACCATCTGGTCTAATGAAGTTTTAAAGTTGACTTCAGGAAGGATAATATATGCCAGATTATTAATAAAATTTTGGATACTTATCATATCTGAAGATAGCAGTCAGATAGTTTTGATTCATCAGCCTTTTCTTTTAATAAAACAACAAATCAATCAAACAAAGAACCCACAATCACAGTCTTCTGTCAATTCAGGTGTAGTATTTGTAAATTCAATATAAGAAGAAAATCATAAAGTATATTGCTTTGCTTTTTTAACAAATCAATAGGCCGTGGTTAAACCTGTTAGATGTTAACATTTCTGGCATTAAATGAAAACAGAATTTATAGCTCTTAGTCACAAGTTCCACAAACCTACCCACTTCTACTTCTATCTTTTTATTTTAAGTCTCCGTGAATAAGGTAGGGGACATGATTAGTGTTCTCTTTTTAATATCTAAAGTTGTATTATATTTACTATTTATCCTTGTCTCATATTCTCTTCCTATGTAATTTTTTCAGTACTTACTAGTCTAGAACAAGGAATGTAAAAAGGCCTCACATGATCTCTGGCTTCTATGAATGGTCCATTACTTCTGATTTTTTCCTATGTCTCTTGAGTAACAGACACTCTGGCAAATTTCCTGGTGCTCAGTTTACCTTTCATCTTCATTTGCTAGCCTACTAAGTTCTCATATTTATCTCTCTTAAAATATATTTACTAGGTTTGTAACCATTCTCTTTCTTCCCAGATTTGATGGTGTTTCATATTTGACTTATATAAATCATGAGACAATCTCACCTTTCACAAGGGAAGACATCATATTTTGGAATGTAAACTCACCAAAGTCTATGGATTTTCCCACCTTCTTTTCACTTTTACACTCTGTTGTAGCTCCTTTTCCTTTGCCTATATTCAAGGATACTCAGTGCCCTTACTTCAGTGTTCTCTAATCAGTCATGTTAATTAAGAACATTATTGGCTGTTTTCAATTAAACCTTTGAGACAGGTGTTTTTCATATATTATGAAACAGATGTCTAGATCTCTGAGCCAAGATTTTCTCTGAACTGTTGACACACCTATAGAATGATCACTCACTCTGCTTCAATCAGATATTTTATAAGCAAGTAAATGTAATATAGAAGAGGGTTCCTCAATTAAAACTACACCTTTTATTTACTTACATTGAAATATTTCTGTCCTAATGTAATGAATGATGCCACCATCTATACAGTCTTCCTCATGGCAAAGTTTCTGATGTATGTCACACAATCACCTAAGTTCTACCAAGAAACAGGTCTCTTTCTAAAACCTATCACATTGTCTTTATTTAGGCCACAGATCACAACTTAGGAAAATTACTATTATATTGGCTTCCCTTTTGCGTCTCTCTGTGAATATGCTGCTTGGAATGTGCTTTCTAAAATTTGAGATGTAGTTTGGACTAAAGCTAAAAGTTACTACCATTCTTGAAGTTTTTATTGATAACTTTTTATAGATTAGTTACAGTAATTACACTCTACTTATCTCAGTACATACCAATGATTCTCCAATAGTTAGTGTCATGAACTATAGTCTCAGTGTTATTGAACAAATAGATACAATGTTTCCATTTCCTTAAATCCCATTATTATTCCAGTTACTTGTTTTTCATCCTCATAACTTATTTCTTTTGCATATTCCACAGCAAGCCCAGTCCACAGGTCAGAGGAACTTGAACCTTGAGGTAACTGTGTAGAGCCTGCACCACTTAGCATGGCTTCCGTATTTGGCTATATTTTGTTTGTTTTCTTGCTCCCTCTAGAATAGTTTCCCTCAATTGCATCACTTGAATAATTTCCGAACTAAAAATATAATGACAGTTTGCAACTGAAGCAATTATGCTATGGTTGATCTTTTGGGATGCAATTTATTTAATAGGCAACAATAAATACTTGAATGACAACCACTACAAAAGAAAAAGGATACTAAGTACTATTTACTTATGTGTAGAATAAAAACAAAAGAATAAAACAGAACAATAATGGTTTACCCAGAGTTTAATATTTATAAGTAGTTTGAATATGTGTTGTACATTTGCAAAATTTGATAGTTATCTTTGCATATATTATTTCTACGCAAAACAGGTGGGCCTCTGAGAATCCATAAATCAAATATTGTTTAATCATTTCAACCGTAATGCTTCATTACATTTACTTACTTACATTAAGAAATAGAGACTCAGACTTTGTCATCCTTCAGCCTCCCAAGAGATAGCATTAAAGGCATCTGTAACCATGCCTTGCTTCAAATTAGTTTCCTTCTCCAAAATCTTAAATATGCTTTTACAATTTCCTTCATTAAGCTGATTTAATTTTTAAGATTTATTTTATTTTATTGAAATGGGTGTTTTGTCTGCATGCATGTTTATGTACCAAGTGCATGAGGTGCCCATAGAGGTTGAAAAGGGCTCTGGATCTCCTGGAATTGGGGTTACAGACAGTTGTGAGCCACCTCATGGGAATCAAGATTTTTGCAACAGCAGTAACTTCTCTTAATCGTTTATCTATATGTTTAAACCCTATTTTGACTTCTGAAATATTATAGTTAATTATGGAATCACTACTAGTGTGTTTATCAACATTAGTCTTAGTAATTACATTTAGGACAACATAGAGCTTTGATTTTACAAGAAAATGCACAACATTTTTAATGTAAGCATATCAGGATTTGAAGACTATGTGTTCCATTTGAAAATGGTATTCTAAACAATTACAGTGTGTTGGTTAAGTTAATAATTTATTAAAAGTACCATCATAGCACTATTTTATTTTTTGTTACTTTTAACACTATCTGACATGTTCCATGTCCCAACTTTTATCCAATGTCTTGGTAAAACGTGACACAAAGGTAGGATTAAAGAGTGCTAGTATGGTTGGAGAAGTTGATACAATATTTGTTAATTATGCATACAAGAATGGGTTAAATTTCCAGCAGAAATATGTAACAATGTGGTGGTACATATGTTTAATCATGGCATTCTGGAGATAGACAAGGAACTTCAGAAATGTAAGGTTGTTTATTGTTAAATAGTTTGTCTGAAATCATCCTGGGAAGTCTGAGATCTTGTCTCAAAGTAGAAAAAAAAGTGCTGTATTTCCACTTCCTGATTTGCTCGTCTGCTTTCTGTTATTAGCAGAGTCATACTATACTGTTGATCAAAGACATCATATGAATCTAAGCCAGTTTTCCCAGGAAGAATGATCTTAAATCAGTTAGTTTACACGTAACCAATTAGTAGACACAAATGAGTGAGAGGCTTTGGACCCTGGTCCAGAACAGAAATTATGCATGACTCATGATAAGTAAACAAACAAACAAACAAACAATCACACATAAAACCTCTTCATCATTCTATATTTTAACTGCTTTTGAATTATTTTTGTGTCAATATAAAGCATTTTCACTGAGAAACATAAAAAAAAATGTCCAGAGAAGGTATCCAAACTCCTAAGCAAATCCAAACAGCTATGAAGCTCCAGATGTGTTATAATCACAAAGCCAATTTCTGAACTGTTTATGTGACAACATTACTTAATGAATGATACATATAGTTATAGTGAGGAGCAGAATCATCAAATCTGTTTCATATTTAAGGACATAATCTGTCTTTCTGAAAACAATACTCATTCCTGGCAAGGACTGTTGTTTGTATCAGATATATGAGCGACCATATCTGGAGACCAATGAGATGCATTACTTTTGGCATTTTTTCCATACTGTTGCTTAAAGAAGAGAGATGATTTTCACTGTAGTAGAGATTAGAAGAATAGCCAGACAACTATGAATCACTTATCATATATAGTGTCACATAGAAGGTGACAACAAAACGGTGCTATCCACTCCTAGCTAGATTAAAAGGTAGCTGAATAAGAAAAGAAATAAGAATGATGTTTCTCTTCCTCACATTAATGACTCACTGGGGGAGCCCATGCTTTCTGCTTCTGTATCTACAAATCCTCCATGCATCTAGTCATTTCTTTGGGGACTATCGATATAAAAATATCATTA